ACAGCATAACAAAAAAATAATACATCATGATCAAATGGGATTCATACCAGGTATGAAAGGATGGCTCAGCATTAGAAAATCAATCAATGTAATAAAATACATAAAACAAAGGTAAAGAAATCTCAGAAATTTGATAAAATTTCAGCAAAACAGGAATAGAAAGGAAATTCCTCAACATAATTAAGGGCATATATGCAAAACCAACAGCCAACATTATGGTCAATGGAGGAAGATTGAGAGCATTCCCCTTGAGAATAAATACCAGACAAATATGCCCTTTATTATCTCTCCTATTCAACATTGTACTGGAACTTCTAGCTAGAGCAATAGGCAAAAAGGGGAAATAAAGGGTATCCCAACTGTATTTCATTTTACTTGGATCCATAATCAACACCCATGGAAGCAACAGTCAATAAATCAGACGTATTGCACTGGGCAAATCTGCGACAAAAGACATCTTTAAAATGTTGACGAGAAAAGACATCACCTTGAAGACTAAATTGTGCCTAACCTAAGCTGTGTTATTTTCAGCCATCTATATAGAAGCTCCAAAAGCTCTGGTGGCATAGTGCCTAAGGCAATTGACTGCTAATCAGAAGGCTGGCAGTTCAAACCTACCAGCCACTCCTCAGAAGGAAGACTGGGCAATCCAGTTCCATAGAGATACTGCCTTGGAAACTGAAAGAGGGGTTGCTATCAGTTGGAATCTACTCCATGGCAGTGAGTTTAGTTTTTTTAGTATGTGCATGTGAAAGCTGGATAATAAATAAGGAAAAATCAAAGAAAAATGGATGCCTCTGAATTGTGATTTGGCAAAGAATACTGAAAACAATATGGACTGTCAGAAGAATGAACAAATCTTTCCTGGAGGAAGTGCAGCTGGAATGCTCCTAGAAGTGAGAATGGCCAGAATTTGTCTCACCTACTTTGATCATGTGGTCAGAAGGGACCATTCCCAGGAGAAGGATATCATGCTTGATAAAGTGGAGGGTCAGAGAAAAAGGGGAAGACCCCCAATGAGATGAATTGACACAGTGGCTGCAACAATGGGCTCAAACACAGCAAGGATTGTGAGGATGGTGCAGGACTGGGCAATGTTTCATTCTGTTGTACACAAGGTCACTATGAGTCAGAATCGAATTGACAGCATCTAACAACAAAATTGGAAGAGAAGAAGGAAAACTATCTTTATGCACAGATCATATCTTATACGTAGAAAATCCAGACACTACATAACAAAGTTACTGGAACTAATAGAAAACAAACAAATGAAAAAAAAAAAAAAAAAAAACCAACCAAACTCACTGCTGTCAAGTTGGTTCTGACTCATCTGACTCATAGCAACCCCTCTTTGGGTTTCTGAGGCGGTAGCTCTATGGAAGTAGATTACCTTGTCTTCCTTTCCAGGAGTGGCTGGTGGGCTTTAACCGCCAGCCTTCTGGTTATCAGTCAAATGCCTTAGGCACTACACCACCAGTGCTCCCAGAACTGATAGAAGGATTCAGCAAAGTGGCAGAGTAGAAGATCAACACATAAAACCAGCTGGGCTCCTCTACACTAACAAGCAGGACTTTGAAATGGAAATCAAGAAATCAATACCATTTATAATAGCCCCTTAAGGGAATAAACCTAAACAGGGATGTAAAAGACATGTGAAAGAAAAACTATAAAACATTACTGCAAGAAATTAAAAGAGATCTACATAAATGGAAACATTCCATGTTCACAGATTGGAAGACTCAACACTGTGAAAATGTCAATATACCAAAAGTGATCTATAGATATAATGAAAACCCAATCCAAATTCCAACAGTCTTTAACAAAATGGAAAAAGTAATCTCCAATTTTGTATGGAAAGGAAGGAGGATAAGAATAGCAAACTTAATACTGAAGAAGAACCAAGTAGAGGCCTCTCAGTTCCTGATCTCAAAACTTACTATACAGCCATTGTAATAAAAACAGCTTAATACAGGTACAAAGACAGACACATAGATTAGTGTAATAGAATTGAAAACCTAGAAGTAAACCTGTCAAAGGCAGATGGTCTTTGACAAAGGGTGAAAGTCCATTCAATGGGGAAGAAGCAGTCTCTTTAACAAATGGTGCTGGCAAAAGTGGATATCCATATAAAGAAAAATTAATTAGGATCCATACCTCACACTATGCACAAAAACTAACTCAAAGTTGATCAAATACCTAAAAGTAAAACTAAAACTATAAAGTTCCTGGAAGATAACATAGGGTCATCACTAAGGAAGTTAAATTTTGGCATAAACATTCTATCAAACAAAACTAAAAATGCATGAATAACAGAACATAAATTAGGTCTCCTAATAATTAAATACTTCTGCTCATCAAAAGACTTTGCAAGAGAGTAAAAAGACAATTTAAAGACTGGGAAAAACTCTTTGACAATGACATATCTGACAAGGTCTAATCTCTAAAATATATAGGAAACTTCAACAGCTCCACAACAAGAAGACAAATAATCCAATCAAAAATTGGCAAAGGACATGAACAGACACTTCACCAAAGAGGATGATCAGGTGGCCAACAAATACATGAAAAGATATTTGTGATCATTGTTGTTGTTGTTGTTATGTGCCGTCGAGTCGGCCCCGACTCATAGCGACCCCTCCTTGGGTTTCCGAGGCAGTATCACTACGGAAGTAGGATTGCCCAACCTTCCTTCCGAGGAGTGGCTGGTGGGTTTGAACCGCCAGCCTTCTGGTTAGCAGTCAAGTGCCTTAGCCACTATGCTACCAGAGCTCCTTTGTGATCATTAGCCATTAGAAAGATGCAAGTAAAAACTACAATGAAATACCATGTCACTCCTGCAAAAATGGCAATGATAAAAAAAAAAAATAACAACAGAAAACAACAAATGCTGGTGAGGTTGTGGATGGGGGAAATGGAACTCTTCTACATTGCTAGTGGGATTGTAAAATGCTACAATCACTACAGAAAACAGTATGACATTTCTCCAAAAAGCTAGAAATAGAAATACCTTATCATTCAGCGATCCCATTCCTAGATATATACCCTGGAGGCATAAGAGCAGTGACATGAATAGACACATGCACATCTATGTTCATTGCAGCACTATTCACACAGCAAAAAGATGGAAATGACCTAAGTGCCAATCAAGAGATGAACAGATAAACATCTAGCCTGAGAAGAGAACAACTAGATGGTGCTGGCTACCAGTACTGGCCATTCTGACTAGGGTAACAATAGAAGGTTCCCAATAGAAAGGGAGAAAAATGTAGAACAAAACCCAAGTTCCAAAAAAAAAAAAAAAGGCCATATTTACTGGACCTGATAGAACCAAAAGGAACCCCCCAAGACTATTGCCCTAAGACACCATTTGACTTTGGAACTCTCAGTGGTCACCTTTCATCCAAATAATAGACTGGATTATCAAAGAAAGAATATTACCCATGAATACTCTGCTCCCTTAAATAATCAACTATATGAGACCAAATGATTAACATTTACCCTAAAAGAAAGATGAGAAGGTAAAGAGGGGCAGGAAAGCTAGATTAACGGAAACAGAACAAAAATAGTGGAATAACGAGAATGTTGACACTTTATGAAAAATATAACAAATGTTATGGAACAAGTTATGCAAAAATTGCATAAAAATTAAATGGGAACCTAATTTGCTATGTAGACTTTCACCTAAAACATAATAAAATATTAAAAAAGCACAAATAAACAACTATACCAATTCTTTAGTTCTCACCCGCTGCTGTGGAGTCATGTCTGACTCATAGGGTCTCTTCCTTGGGTTTCCCAGGCGGTATTACTACGGAAGTAGATTGCCCAATCTTCCTTCTGGGGAGTGGCTGGTGGGTTTGAACCACTAACCTTCTGGTTAACAGTCACATGCCTTAGTCACTATGCCACTAGAGCTCCCTCTATAGTTCCAAATGCCTGAAAATAGGACATGTGTGCACTTGTCAACAATACTGTTATGTAAGATAGAACATGAGCCAGCAGCCCCCATTTAAGACATACAGGATGAGTCAGAATGAGTCTCATTCATTTTACCTAGTCAGCCTCAAGGAAGCTCTGGTAGCATAGTGTCTAAGGCATTTGACTGCTAACCAGAAGGCTGGCAGTTCAAACCCACCAGCCACTCCTCGGAAGTAACGTGGTGCAATCTACTACCCTAATGATGTTGTTGTTGTTACCTGCCGTCGAGTCGGCCTCGACTCATAGCTACCCCTCCTTGGGTTTCCGAGGCAGTATCACCATGGAAGTAGATTGCCCCATCTTTCTTCTGAGGGGTGGCTGGTGGGTTTGAACCGCCGGTCTTCTGGTTAGCAGTCAAGTGCCTAGTCAAGTGCCTTAGGCACCATGCTACCAGAGCTCCCAATGATATTGCCTCGGAAATCCAAGGAGGGGTCGATATGAGTTGGTTCTGAGTCTGCAGCAGTGAGGTTTTTGTTGTTGTTGTTGAGTCAAGGTTCTTTGGGTTTGTGTTCAGAGAAGCAGTTAAGTATGAGGAAATTGGGGAAAAACAGTGAAAATAAAGAAAAGGAGGAAAGAACCATGAAGATTTTGAAGACGGATTCAGACAAGGAGGTGGAAGAAACACTGACTTAAGAGTACATTGAAAGGAAACAGAGTACAAAAATTGAGCAGGAGACTAACAAAAAAAGTGAAGCTGTGATTCAGAGGAACTTTAAAAAAACAGTTGGAGAATGTCTTTACATGATGATAATAAGGATGATCATTCTTTTCTTTATTTGGATTTTACAGATGATCCAATACTTTATATACATTCGTAAGCTGAATTTCTGAGGCCACAGAACTGCCTAGTGAGCATTTTATTTGTTTTTATTAAACACAGATAGGAATGTTGCTGAAGAAATGATAACAATGATATGTTATGATTTTGAATATATGGTTAAATGACTAAAAACACTATCTCATAAAACCGTGTTTATTTGACTTAAATAATTGATGTTTAAAATATTTAGACATCTACTCACCCCACAGAGAGGAAAGGCTCCTTCGATTCAAGTCTATGAAAAAACATTAAAAATTTATTTTAGTATAACAATATACTGTACATTCAAAATTGGTTTTACATGAATGTGACAGAATTATTATACTTGTTTGGATGAAAATGAATAATTTAATACCAATGAAAAACTATAAATAATACATTAAGACCTAATCTGGAGTAATTTAAATTCTGGCTGGATTAATGCAGAGGCTAAATAAAATGAGAGAGCCTTGGAATGGGAATGTAGCATTTAAATGATATATTAAGATAAAGAAAATGTTAGTTTAATTTTAATTTGCACTCTTTCATTCTACTTACTTTCATTATTCATGGTAATTTGTTTGTAGAAGTTTCAGTATAATAGCTACTTGTGGTTACTGGAATAGTAAAGAAATTTATAATATATTTGGTTACATCTTGGCTGAGTAATTTATTTCCAGGGTAAATATATAATGAAGAGGGAGGCAGCATGCCATTCACTCTAGGCCATTTACAAGTGCCTCATCTTTTGGAGCTTGGTGCTAGGTCACAGATTTGGGACATATTAGGGATGTCTTCTAAGAACCTGAGTATTTTCTGTACCTTCTGGTATGTCAAGGAAGAATTCAAATCATTAAATCTCTGGTTAATCATAACGTATCATTTTCTGAGGCTTATTTTTCTCACTTGTCAGATGGCTAGGCTAGTTTCCAGCTAATTTTCTGATTTCATAAATTAACTGTATATACTTTGCAAAAGATAAACCAGGAAAGGATCCAGTTCTAAATATTAACTAGATAATAATTAAGAAGACTAGTGGAGCAAGCTACTTCCGTAGGGATACTGCCTTAGAAACCCAAGGAGGGGTTGCTATGAGTCGGGTCCGACTCGATGGCACATAACAACAACAACAGTTGATAAGTGAGAAGCTCTGGTAGTGTAGTGCCTAAGGCACTTGATTGCCAATCAGAAGGCTGGCGGTTCAAACCCACCAGCCACTCCTTGGAAGGAAGACGGGGCAATCTACTTCCGTAGTGAAACCACCTCTAAAACCCAAGGAGGAGTCGTTATGAGTTGGGGCTGACTCAACAGCACATAACAACAACAGTTGATACCTTGTCCATTTTATTTTTGAACAGGCTTCTTAACATTTGTCATGGTTTCTTTTTTTCTTTCCTCAGTTGTATGGAGTTGACTCTGTCTCTTGGTCATCCAAATTCAGGGCTCCAGCTCTAGGGAAAGGCTTTCTCTCTCTGTTGGCCCAGGGGAAGGTCCTTGTCTCCTTTCAACTTGTGTGGGCCCAGTGTTCCTTGAAGATCTCCATATGTCTTGGCATCAATCTTCCCTTGGGTCTAGGAGGTTCTCAGTGCAGGGACCCTGGGTACAAAGGACAAGCTCCATTCCTGGCTTTTCTCTTTTGAGGTCTCTCCCCCTCTGCTTGCTTCTCTCTCCTTGATCTCTTTTAAGATAATAGTTGATGGAGATCACACCCTAGGGAAATTTTCCTAACATAAGGTCAGGGCTATGACCTAAATAAAGGTGTTGGGTCCCACTCTAATAAGTGATCTGTAATCCACTCCAATTGATTGGCTTATCACATCATGGGGGATGTGATATCACATCATTATACAACTGGCATAGCCAAGTTGACACATTTATGGGAGAAACAATTCAATCCATAACAAGTTACTTATTTGGATTATTGACATTTTGATAATACTACTTCTCCCTTATTGCCATTTAATGTACTGTTGTTGTTGTTAGATGTCGTTGAGTTGGTTCTGACTCATACCAATCCTCTGTATGACAAAACAAAGCATTGCCTGATCCTGTGCCATCCTCACGATCCTTGCTACGTTTCAGCCCATCCTTGTAGTCACTGTGTCAATCCATCTCAGTGAGCATCTTCCTCTTTTTCGCTGACCCTCTACTTTATCAAGCATAATGTCCTTCACCAGGAACTAGTACCTCCCAATAACATGTCTAAAGCAGTGAGATAAAATACTATGCTTCTAAGGAGCATTCTGGCTTTGCTTCTTCCACAACAGAGTTGTTCATTCTTCTTCTGTTGTTGTTGTTATTTGCCGTCAAGTAGGCCCTGACTCATAGCGACCCATCCTTGGGTTTCTGAAGCAGTATCACTACGGACGTAGGATTGCCCAACCTTTCTTCCGAGGAGTGGCTGGTGGGTTTGAACTGCCAGCCTTCTGGTTAGCAGTCAAGTGCCTTAGGCACTATGCTACCAGAGCTCCTATTCTTCTGTTAGTTCATGGTATATTTAATATTCTTCAACAATACCATGATTCAAAGGTTATCAATTTGTGATTTAATAAAATTTGAAAAAAATAGATAAATATAGACACTAAAAGGGTCCATTCTCTTTGTATTTGCCAATAGTTTTAGCCTAGTATTTATCAGATTTAATGTATTTTTGTAATTTTCTTATGTAAAGTGCTACCCTCTCCATACTTCTAGTTCTCCATTTCTCTTACTTCTTATACTGTTCCTCTTGACTCTCTCTACTGGGTGCCTCTTTTGTTGTTGTTGTTGTTATGTACCCTGGAGTTGGACCTGACTCGTAGCGACCCCTCCTTGGGTTTCCGAGGCGGTATCACTACGGAAGTAGATTACCCAATCTTCCTTCTGAGGAGTGGCTGGTGAGTTTGAACCTCCAGCCTTCCGGTTAGTAGTCAAGCGCCTTAGGCATTATGCTACCAGAACTCCTCTTAGTGGCATGGAATAATATAAAAAATTAACCCACTGCCATGGAGTTGATTCTTACTCATAGTGGCCTCCATTAAGTTTCCAAGGAAACCTAATCTTTATGTAAATCTTTACTGAAATAAATTGCCCTATCTTCCTCCTGTCGAGCAGTTGGTGGGTTTGAACTGCCAGCCTTCTCATTAGCAGTCAAATGCCTTAGGTGCTGCACCACCAGACCTCTTTATGGAATAATAGAGTATTTCAAAACATTTTGTATCTGACTCATTTCTCTTTGTCATCCTCTGTATTTTATTAGTTTGCAAGTCTTGTTCATTTTTCATTTTAGTGACTCTCACTTTCCCTCTTCCATTCCATTCCATTCCTAGACTAGTTCTCTTTACTTACTCCAACCCTTGGTGGTCTCTCTAAATAAAGATTATCTGTTCAAAGTTACTCCAACTTTAAACACTGTTATCACACTAAACTTCCTTTAATATTGCCATTCCACTGCATTTGTTTAACTACTGCATTATACCACTTTCCTTATGGGTATCATAAACAACTTGAATAAAAGCAAAGCATAATTTTGTCTTTCCGTGCAATTATCCAAATGATTAAGAATTTGTTTGAAGTAGTAATTGTTGATTGATTTTCTTCTTTATCTGAAGACTTCAGATAGGCAGCTGGTGGACTGAAGAATACAGGGACATATGTCACTGACCCCAGTGGTTAATATGGTTAATCTGACTCCCTAGTTAGTTTTCCCCTTTTCCTTTCACTACTTCTACTATCTTTTTCCTAGTGCTCAATAGAAGATGTCAGAGAAAAATTAAAAGTTTCCAAAATGACATTGGATTGAGAGCTCTAATATTCTATAAACCAGGTGTTGGCAAATCCTGTAGATCAAATACTGCTCATTTGTTTTTGTATAAACTTCCAAACTTAGGATGGTTTTTACATTTTTCCACGGTTGGAAAAAAACCAGAAGAACAATATTTTGTGACATAAATATGATGTGAAATTCAAATTTTAGTATCCATAAATAAAGTTTTATTGACACACAGTCACACTCATTTGTTTGCATATTGTTTAAGGCTGCTTTTGTACTACAATAGCAAGTTAGTTGTGACAGAGACTGTATGGTCACAATCCTAAAGTATTTACTATATGGCCTTTATCAAGAAAGTGTGACAATGCATGAGACACAATTATATTGTTCAAAGGAATTAGAAACAACCTCTTACAACACTCACTCTCTATTTTTAGTACATATCAAGATATTCTCTTGATCAGAAAAATTTGAATTCCTCCTCTACCCTACAAATTTAGCCCCTTCCCCTACTGACAGATTGAGATCCTAAAATTGCTATTTCCATGTCATTATATTTCTTTATAATTCAGTAACCATAGAATAGTACCCAACCTTTTTATTTGTCATTTGAACGCTCTTCACAATCATGCCCCACACCATATTTCCATATTGCTCTTCCTATGTTTTACTAAATACTTTATTCCAGGAAGCTTGATTTTTTTTTTTTTTCCAGCCATGCAAAAATATAAAAGCCAGTCTTAGCTTGTGGGTTGTACAAAAACAGATGGTGAGCAGGATATGGCCTGCAGACCAAAGTTTGCCAACTCCTGGTTGGTGACCAATCTATTTACTGCCCAAACACATCTAGCTTAGCTTTGTTTTGGTGTTTTTGAGTATTCTATTTCTGTGCCAAAAATACTGTTCTTCCTTCCTTTCTCTATGCAAGATCTACTTATCTTTCAAATTCAGCTCAATCTAATACCCTTGGTAAAGCCGATCCTGACACTCTATCTCAGAACTTCTAATATTTATTGTCTCCATTACTATGGTATATTCTAAGGATAATAGTTCTATATTAAAAGGTTCACTTAGAGTTTCATTAGAATTGGGAAGATTACTAAACCTGGATCTCTGCTTAGACAAGAGGCTCCCAGTAGTTCTGTGTTAAACTTCCTGATGGGCACAGGTGGGAAGTGGTTCTTGAGCCAAGTAGAAAGAAAAGAATATTGCCGATTGGCCACTGTAAGTCACCAAGACAAGTCCTAGATATCAGGCCTTCTAAGAATTTTCTATGGTAAAGTAGGGCTGGAAATCTTGATAGGGAGCTATCATCAGGCACTGCTATCCCATGGCTTATTCTCAAAGTGATGACATGCTACTGAAGAAAAGTTCTTATGTTGAATGATGCTCTGTAACCAACTGCTGAGTCATGGCTCATTACATGGAGTCAATTTCTCTAGCCTAGAGATAATTCATAGACTCATCCTAACCTTATTTTTATCATTAGTAATATAGAAAGCATC